TCTCTCCTAGCAGAGATACAAAAAGTTCAAGGGAATATGATGAGCGGGATGAGGGGTACTCTAGTAAGCCGTACTGTTGGGAGTCGATGGACTATAAGAGAGAGTATAGTCTCATTCAGGAGGAGGAAGATTGGATCGAGGAAGGGCCCCGTGAAGATATTGATATCAACAGTGAAGGCGAGGCAGATGAGATAACGAGACCAAAAGAAGAAGGACGACCAGTGCCAGATAGCTCGAACAAGGGACCCTCAAAATGGAAAGAGGGATTTGGACCAACATGTAGCGACTGGTTTAACCAGTGGTCCAGTATAATAAGACATGATTGGATCATCAAGGCCCAAAAAAAAATGAGGATGGGGGAGCTGGTCACACCTTTGGATTTCTTAGACGAGGAAGAACTGGAAAGGCTCGTAGAGAAAAAGAGTAGGTTATAGGGTCTGTTCAGTCCCAACCCCCATATCCCCTGTTTTGGCAGAGTTAGTTTTTTGCAACCCGAAGCCGCATCGGCTCGCTGGCCATTTCGGACCGGCCTCCGCACGGGGGTTGGACAACGGTTTTCTCAGCAGCAGCAGCAAGGCTTTGGCCAGGCATCGACATCAAACATCGGTAGTCTCAAATCAGTAGTAGCAGCAGCTGCAGCGACCACAGTCACTCATCCGATTCCCCTCCATTACTGCGTTTGAATAGAGCACGGGGCTGGGGGGGAGCGAAGCGGTGTTCAAACAAAGCACGGGGGAAGATTAGTGTGTCATTCAAATAAAGCACATGGAGGGATGAGTTGCCACAGATACACAATGCCTACTTAGTTCAACAAGAATGGATAAGGATTCAGGTTGCACTTCTCATCCAAGTGAAACTCACAACAAAGTATAGAGATAGAGTGAGTGAGACTCACTCTCTAACAAGGATACTCAAAGCACAAAGCACCGGATGACAATGAGGAGTGGGGATGAACAATGCAAAGTGAAGATGATGACTACAACAGCAAGGCAAGCAAGCACAAAAGTGGCGATTCACACCCAAGTGAAGATTAGAGAAAAAGGTGAAGGGAGAGTGAGTGAATCTCACTCTCAAGTTAGGAAACTCTAACCACCAAATGCCAGATTACAATGGAGGGTGAAAACAGACAATGCATGAGTAAAAAATGACTACAACAGCAAAGTAAGTAAGGACAAAAGTGACGATTCATACCCAAGTGAGGATTACAATGCAGGAGGAAGGGAGAGTGAGTAACACTCACTCCCAAGCTAGTATACTCAAAGCACAAAGTGTGGGATTACAATGGAGGGTGAAAACAGACAATGCATGAGTAAAGGATGACTACAACAGCCAAGTAAGCAAGGACAAAAATGACGATTCATACCTAAGTGAGGATTAGAATGAAGGAGGAGGGGAGAGTGAGTAAAACTCACTCCCAAGCTAGTATACTCAAACCACCAAGTGCCGGATTACAATGGAAGGTGAAAACAAACAACGCATAAGAAAACGATGACTACAACAACAAAGTAAGTAAGGACAAAAGTGGTGATTCATACCCAAGTGAAGATTAGAGTGAAGGAGAGAGGTAGAGTGAGAAAAACTCACTCTCAAGCTAGTATACTCAAACCACGAAGTGCCGGATTACAATGAAAGGTGAAAACAAACAATGCATGAGAAAAAGATGACTACAAGAACAAAGTATATAAAGACAAAAGTGGTGATTCATAGTATTTCATACCCAAGTGAAGACTAGAGTGAAGGAGAGAGGGGGAGTGAGAAAAACTCACTCTCAAAAGTGTGCTCAAACCACCAAGTGCCCGATTACAATGGGAGGTGAAAACAGATAATGTATGAGAAAAAGATGACTACAACAACAAAGTAAGTAAGGACTGAAATGGTGATTCATACAAGTGAAGATTAAAGTGAAGGAGAGAGGGAGAGTGAGAAAAACTCACTTTCAAGCTAGTATACTCAAACAACCAAGTGTCGGATTACAATGGAAGGTGAAAACTGACAATGCATGAGAAAAAATGACTACAACAGCGAAGTAAGTAAAGACAAAAGTGACGATTCGTACCCAAGTGAAGATTAGAATGAAGGAGAGAAGGAGAGTGAGAAAAACTCACTCTCAAGCAAGTGTGCTCAAACCACTAAGTGACGGATTACAATGGAGGGTGTCATGGATATCATGGAGGCAATCTCGAGTGAGGAAGTTGCTTCCTACTTGCTCAATGCTTAGTATGTAAGTTATGGAGAGGAAGAAGGAAGAGAAAAGGATGAGATGGAGGAAGAGAGAGATTAATTGGGAGGAGAAGAAGAAGAAGAAGGGAAAGAGAATGAAAGGGTAGGAGAAGATGAGGAAGAGGAGAAAGGGGAGGGAGATGAGGAGGAAGAGGGAGAAGAAGAGGAAGAAGAAGAGGAAGAAGAAGAAGAAGAAGAAAAGAAAAAAGAAAAAAGAAAAAAAAAGAGGAGGAAGAAGAAGAAGAAGAAGAAGAAGAA